AGTTTCTTTGGTAAAGTGTCTTCACACGCACAGTATGACCCAACTTTAAAACACAATCCAGACTGCAACGCCTTACAAACCCAGTCTGCTGGAGAGGATCAGCTGATCCCAGTGAACACCCACCCCAACAAGAAGTTTTCAGAACCACGTCATTAATAATAACCAGGCTAGTTATTACCAATTACTATTATGCCAGGAACTCGGTATGATAGGAAAGGGTTCAAAGGCTGTTGCGGTCATGGCACCACTTTATGCAGAAAACTGGAAATATCAGCTGCATTTGGAAGCACGGGATGCGTTGCATTACAAAGAAGGCAACCAGGGTAACTTTGCCCATCCACAGCAGCTGCTTAAAGCCAACCACAAGTCCATTTAGCTGCTTATGGGACAAGTATATAGGTAGAGCCCAAACCTGCCATGTTCTCCATCTGTGCACAGCAGTGGGGAGGGATGGCTGCTGTCAAAGCCCTGGAGCAACGATGCTGCAAATCACTGAAGCACTCCCTGAACTCAGATCTGAGCACATGCTAGAGCACCTTGTCCCCCAAGACCTTGATTCACAAGTAAGCAGACCCTACCAGAGAGAGCTCAGCAGCCCTAAGAAACTCTGCGCTTCTTTCTTTTCCTTCCAGCTACTGGTCTTTGGAAGATTATAGCAAAGCTGTTCCAAGAAACCAAAATACTGCTGGAGCGCAGTATTTAGCTCTTGGGGTGGCACAAATTACAGCATCCTTATTTTTATGTCAGTATTTATTTGAAGGAAATGTACAACAGAAATCTGACACTAGCTGTATTTTAAACCCACGAGCACTCTGTAAACAAGCTAGACCCAGAGAGATTTGTATGTTTCTTCTTGAAACATAAGGAGAACCACCGAGACTGAATAATTGAAAACAGTTACGGAGACTTCATTTTCTTGTTTTTCCTGGGATTTGCTCTTGGGCTGGCTGCTCCCAACCTCAATACCTGGCAGGGATGATCAACTATTTGGAATCTCATTTGCATAATAGTTGACAGCTCTCCGTGGGGGATCACTGCCCTGGAGGAGGTCACCAATATGCAGAAAAAAAGAGTGCGGAGGGCATTTCTCTTCAAATGCAGTTTTTAAAAGGGGTCAGAACAGAGCATCTAAGATCAAGTATGAATACATAAATATATCTCAACTCATTATTGTGACAATTTTGGTAGCATCTTTCATCTAGAGAGGTCCTCAGACTCTTAGAGAAGCTTGCAAATAGGCTGCACAGATATGTCTGGGTCTTCACATGCATGTCCACAGGGACACGCTTGCCCTGGGGGCTGCAGCAATCATGGGAGGTGATGGTAAAACTCCAGTTACCTTCACTGGGACAGGTTGCAAGCATCAGCAGTGCTGGCTCAAGCCAATGGGCTATTTATGTAGCTGTTTGCCTATGGCTTTGCAGAATTGGGTAAACCTTCAAAACGATCCTGGTATCTATGCAAACTATGCAAACTATGCAGCTATGGTCCTGCAAATAGAGGAGAATGAAGAAAACCTCATTAAACTGGATCAATCTCAGAGCAGGGGCGGGCTCGCCCGCAATTCATTAACTTCAGTGAGTCTCTGCCCTACTGACCCCTTTGCAGAATCAGGCCCCTGGCTGGAAGCGAGTACAAATGCAAAGAGAATTTAGGTTAGGAAGGAATTAAACCAAACTGGAATTTGTGCAGGATATCAGCAGCGTCTGTTCCCTCAGCTATTCCCCTCTGTAAGGGATGCGACCAAGCGAGCTCTCAGTTTCTTGGGCTCCCTCACGTCCCTGTTTCTAGGTGTTGGCATCAGGGAATAAAGATCCTAAGGAAACTGCTTGCACACACACACTCTCCCTGCACACACATGCCCACCGCGCTGTCATCTACAGCATCCCACCCAAGCGTCCTCCTGACTCTGCAGGAAACAGAGCCTGCAGGCAGGCTCTATAGCTTGTCAAAGGCAAAAGAGATGGATTTTGACCCTTACTGCACTTACAAATATCCCAAACCCTTCTGCAGAATGAACTGCAGATATCTCAGGGAAGAACTCAAGGAAGAACTACCACAACCATGCATGATAACAATGGAAGTCCAGGAGGGAAAGGCAAGGGGTGTTTTGGAGAGCCCCGGGCAGCAGCGGCAGCACCGAGCTCCCCCAGTGTGGCTGTGCACCTCATTGCTGGGGCTCGGGGACAGCAGGGAGCCGCTGCACCTTGGCACCCCGCTCTGAGACCCCTGCACCCTGCCAGGCACCCACTGATGCTGCAGGACCCCAGCCCCAAGCAGCTGCAACCTGCGTGCAGGCTGCCCAGCCGGATTTCATGGGGCACGGGGGAGGTGTGTGCTGCCTGAAAGCCTCAGCTGCGAGCAGACTTAATGACAGCACGCAGTGCAGACGTCTAAGGTTGTTTTTTTTTTATCACGCTATAAAAATGTATATACAATTATGCCCTGTAAGCCTCCGCAAGCAGATATTAAGTTCAAGGAATGAAAGGGCAGTTTTAGAACCACCCACTGAATTTCTATACGTTTTCTGTATCCTACCCGTGGACTTCAGGTTCAACAGACTAAATCCATGCTGCGACTTTAATTACCATTGCTTAAAGCCTTTATTTGGAGAAACATTTTCATATTTTTGTGCTTTTATCAAAGTAGACTGCCTTTAATTAAAAGCAGACCTGTAAAATGGTTTGCTTCTAATGCCCTCTTTTCACGATAGCCCAAGTACTATTGCATAATACCCCGTATTTACTTCAGTTTCTTGCTTACACTTTTTACACTAACCACATTCACAGGTTAAAAATACAATTAAAGACTATCCAGTCTTGCAAAGCTTCTCCATACATATCACTTCCCCCTTAACAGCTGAGGTAACTGACATATCTTTAGCTGTAGCCTGTGTAAAACCGAATAAAACTGACTTGGCATTGTTTACAGGACCCATAAAAAAATCATTTTAGTTTACCTTAGCAACCCACCTGGCTAAAATGAATGCTCTCAAACCCATTCCACATTGCCAACATATTCTGAAAAGGCACTGCCTGTTTCATTTTACTTCTCCAAATAGACTGCCTGCCATATTTCATGCTGAATCAATAAAGTTATATGTGCACAAATCGACTAAAATGATGTTTACTGGTATTTCTAATACAAGTAGTTTTTCAATGGGTATTTTGTTCAGCTTACAATAACTCTGGAAGATAAAACATGCATAGTACTATCATCTCAATACTGGTCAGACAATGATTTTGCTTAGAAATTAGGTCGTTTAAAGAAAAATAAAATGAGAGGACTTGCATTGCATTATAACTTACAGAGGAACGTTTCCTGGAGGCTGTGTGAGATGCACAGGACCAGCCATTTAAATGTATTGAGACTGGGCTGGGGATTTATTCTGTTGATGGAAAGCCTGGACAAGTGGCCACAAAAACGTTGTTTATATATTCATCTATATTTATATATACACCCATATATCTTGATATGGTAGGAATAAGCTGCATCAGCAAGCACATCATGATTGGATAAAAACTGCATGATAATGAAGTCAGAGAGTGAGAGTACAGCGAGAGGAGGTACAACCTGGTCTTCCCATGCAGCCGACATAGGAAAGGAAGATTTTGTCTAAATTAGCATTTGTACAAGCTATTTCTTTAAGTTTTGGTGTGTTTGGTTGTTTTGTTTTTCTTCCTTTTTCTTTCTTTATCTTTTCTTTTTGCAAGATTCAATATCAAGGAGATGCTCTGAAAGTGCTTTTGTTCATGTTCACTGATGAAATCCATCAGTTTGCAGGATCAAGCCCTGGCCTGGTTCTGCCCCACTGGGAAGTTAAAGGAAGGTGCTGCACTAGCAGCACAAGGTCTGCACGCTCCCTCAGAGTGCAGGACCAGCTCCTTCAAGACAGAGCCCTCCAGGGGCAGATACCTGCGGCCCTTATGCTACCTCCAAGTTTCCACCAGCGCAGGGTTCAGCCCAGCCCCACCATCTTCCCTGTCTCCACTCGGCACACTGGGGGTCCTGCTGGGGACATGCAGGCTGCCCCACCAGAGCCAGGGAGAGGATCTAGCCAGAAATGCAGCACAGGGAGATTTATCTATAGGTACAGATGCATACTCTGAGGAAACAGCTAAGGATCTCCAAAGATGCCAAAATCTAAAAAGATAAAGCTTCTTTGCAGAAATGAATAGTCACATCACTACACACGCATGTACATGGGGAAAGGACGCACACAAAGACCCTCTCCCTCCCCATAGTAAGCCAACTCGAACCTCCTTTAGGAAAGAAAAAAATGGCATTGGGAGCTCTTACCTGGTAAAATTTATATTCCCAGCTACCAGCACACCTACAGCAGCCAGCTCTCACTTGGCGTCACACAAAGGTGCGACAGCAGATCATCTCAGGTCACAGACGTTTACAGCCATAAGAAAAAAAAAAAAAAAAAAAAGAAAACAATCCCAAAACAACCCAAACCCCACAATATGACACAAATGATATCCCTGCAACGGTAGTCTCGTTACAAACAAGATGAGATGAAGGAGGGGTTTTTACTTGCTCCGAGGCATCATATGGAGCTTAATCACAGGCGGTTACGTATATGGTGCTTTTGGCCTTCAATCAAGTGTGTCATTTCGGTGGCAGCTGCCTACGTGATGTAAGCAACCTGGGCAATCCAGTCCTTTGCCAATCACAGCCTCGTGCAGCTATTTCACAGCTGAACAATGGGGAAATTCGATTTCCCACGCAATGAGGAGGACGGAGTTGTAGTCCAGCAAGCTCAGCGAGCAAGACAAGGTCCCGCACCTCTCCTCCAGCAACCACAGCCCGACCAGACCTCAGTGAGCCGTTGTTCCCTCTCTGAGTTCCTTCTGCTACCGTCTCCTCGCGGAGCCCATCTGTATCCCGACGACTTTCAACACGCTCCGAAGCCACCGAGAGCCAAGACAAGCTTGCAAGGTGCCCAGCGAATGAGTGCGACACAGTGCGGCACGTGCTAAGGAGGATGCAGCTGCTACATGGAAAACAGTGAAACTTGGTGGGTGGAAAAGGTCTGAGCTGCTGGTGAGTAACAGGAGAAACAGCTCACACTCAGGACATCAGCAAAGCAGCTCAACCTTCCTTAATGCATTCCTTTTGATGTTCAAGTGGGTAAATCAGGAGGCAATCACTGCAAATCATATATTAAATCTGGTGATTGAAATTATCCCTGAAATACAACGAGGCAGGGCTGAATACATTAAACCCATTACCAGGCGACCAGGTGACAGGCAAGACTCTCTTTGGGAGTCTTCTGGGTGCTGACACCGGCATCGGTAGGCTTCAGGGGCCAAATTCCTCCCTCGTTGCCTTGATTCCAACAGATTCATTAAGACCCATCTACTCAATCGTATGGCGGATGCTCCCTCTGCTCTGGGATCTTCCTTCTTATCTAACTCCACACGAGCAGGACACCGCAGAGACACCGAGCACTTATTACATCACCCGCGGTAACAGCGGGCCTCGAAATAAAGACCAGGACTCCCCGGGCTGCCAAAGTGCAGTGACGCCGCTCCATGGCAACTCGGCCCCTCTCCTCCCGCACGCGTGTGTGCCCACGGCCACGGGGGGAAAAAAAACCCCAAACCACCACAGCGCCCGAGCCACCGCCGCGACACCGGGCAGGAGCGGGGGCTGAGCCGGGAGGGGGCACCCGCAGAGCCCCCGCCCAGCATCCCCCGGCCCCGCGGGGGTCCGCTGCGGGGCTGCCCCGTCTGAGCGAGCCGGCGGGGTGGGAGAGCAGCCGGCAGCATCCCCGGCGCGGCCAACAGGTCGGTTCCCGTTAAGCGCCGGGGGGGCTGCAGGGAGCCCAGCGGGGGCACCCGGCGCTTCACCCCTCCCGCTGGAGCCTCCCCCCTTCCTCGACTCACCTCTCCACCAGCCGGCTCCGCCGCTACAGGTTTGCTCGGCTCCTCTCCCCCCTCCAGATCGCTCCTGGCCGAGTTATTCGAAGGAGGAGGGGGGGAGGGATGGAAGGGGGGGGGGGTGCGGGAGGAGGCAGAGAGAGAGCTGGGCGGTGAGGATGGCGGAGAAATAAAAAGAAGAGAGGGGGAAAAGGAAAAAAGAGGAAAAGGGTTAAAAAGGGGGAGAAAGGGAAAAAAGGGAGGAAAGGGAAAAAAGGGAGGAAAGGGAAAAAAGGGGAAAAGGAAAAAGGGAGAAAGGAATAAAGGGAAAGAAGGGGGTAAAAAAGGAAAGGTAAAAAAGGGGTAACAAAAAGGCAAATAAAAGGAGGAAAACGGCGAAAGAAAAAGGGGGGGAAAGGGCCAAAAAAAAAAAAAAAAAAAAAAAAAAACCACCCCGCACCCTGTGTATTGAAGGCGGCGGATAACGCCGCCCGAGGAGCGGAGCGGAGCAGCGCGCTGCGGCTCAGCGCCCCATGGCCCCGCCGAGCCCCGCCGGCAGCCCCCGGGCAGGGCGGCGGCGCTGCGCCCGCCCGGGGCCCACCCTCCGCCGCGGCCCACCTTGCGGCAGGCCCCCGCTAACCCCTTCCTCGCCGCTCCCCCGCCTCGCTGCCCACCCCCTGGCCGCGGAGGGGCCGGCCGGAGGCTGGCTCCAGCCCCCACCGTGCTCCCCGGGGTTAGCGGGGTGATGGGCCCCCGGGGAAGCACTGATGTGGGGCCGGACTCCTTCGCTAGTGGGCTCTGAGGGTCGGTGGGTGTATGGTGCTGCTTGGTCTGTTTTTAGGAATAGGATGGGGGGGGGGAGGCACTGGAACAGGTTGACCCAAGGAGCTGTGGGTGCCCTGTCTGTGAAGTGGCCAAGGCCAGGCTGGATGGGGCTGGGGGCAGCCTGGGCTGGGGGCAGGGGGCCCTGCCCATGGCAAGGGCTTGTAACCGGGTGGTCTTTAAGGTCCCTCCCAACCCAAACAATTCTGTGAGTCTATGAAGCAGCAATGGAGGAGAAACCACATCTGCACACGCCTCAGTGCTCCTGTGTGCACAAGTGAGCGTGCTTCCCCGCACCCTGGCCTGCCCCTTTTGTGCTGGGGAGCAGAGCAGGGAGCCGTGGGGCACCAAGGCAGGCAGCCCCTTCTGGGCACACCATAAGCACATGGCCGGCGGATCTCCGCCTGGTATGAACAAATCCACCAAAAAGCAAGTCCAGAGAAAAGGCCAGGGTACTTCAAGTGGGGTGAAATTCGGCTAAAGACAATTTAAGATAAATACACCGCGGGATGTTCTGATGGTGAAATCAGGTTGACTGCAGAAGAGTCTGCAATGGGAGCCAAGCACACGAGTCAACTAAAACTGCCTTTGCTGGACCCAGGACACAGCCTGGAAACACCTCCGGCACCTACAGCAACACTCCCACAACCAGGTGAGCACTGAGTGAAGACCAGGGCCTTCACAATAAGCATCGACTTTACAGCTCAAAGGCATTTAGCTTACATCATGCACATGCTGTACTTTTCAAATTTAAAATCCTCCCCACCTCCTTCCTTTCAGCCTTGTGGCCACCACATTTCCCACACTGGGATTTTACCATCAGAAGGGATATGGTCACCAGCCATGGAGCCAGGGGCAGAGGGATTTTTTTTTATTATTTATCTGGTCTCTATGTACTAGAAATCCTATCTCCATCGATTATCAAACCACTGCTTTGCCAGCTCAGCTGCAATACCCAGCTACAGGACTTCTGTGTCCTGCTGCCTGCTTGCCCTGTCCAGGGCCTGGATGGAGATGCAAGTATTTAGCAATGGTCCAAGTTCCTGACAAAACATTGGGGTGTTCAGGCCTGGCTACATCCTGTAATTTTACCATTTTGATGAAGCAATTTTGTGTCTAGTGAGGACACTGCTTCTGTAAGCTGGCTCTCAGCACTGTCAGGGGAAGCTGAATGTTTGTTTCATCAGGATGAGACCTGGATCAACCTCTTTGCATCCTTTTACTTATTTCTTTATTTTTTTTTCCCCTGAACCACAAAGCAACTTTCACAAGTGACTTCCCGAGCTTCATCCAGACTGCATACGTGAGTAAAGCGGGGTAAAACCCTCTCACTTGCAGCACGTTCTTCCCTGCCTTCAGCTAATTTCCTTTCCTTCAGCTCTGGAAGACATTAACCAAAAAGGTTCCAAGCTTCACAGCTCAATACAGTAGCTGGAAAATCCATTAGGATTATATATTTATTATTAAAAATTGTTAAAGAACCAAGTTCTCATTAATCCCTAAACATATCCAGAATAACTCCATTTGTGTAAATAAGACCAGCCTCTAGCCCTTTTCTCTTCTTCTCCCTGAGAACCCAGAGCAGATCCTGCCAGACCCTTGTTTTTAAGAACCTGTCCTTGGTACCAACAGGGACAGCAAGAGGATGGAGCACGCTCTGGAAGGCGATGGCTGCCTTGGAAATCAGTGCCCCGATGGCCACATTGCGTTCCTGAAAATGATACAGCGAGAGACAATATAATACTAATGTGACAAAGCAAAGTGCTGAAAAATTATGCGAGGCAGGGCAGGTTGTTGTCAGAGACCTGCCCGGCTGCCTGTTGGGGACCAGTGGTGGTTGTCACTGTCAGTGCCGAGCCGTCGCTCTAATAACAAGGGGATTATCGCTTGATGTAATTTGCTTTCAAGCTGCTGTACACCAGTCAGACCGATTACAGTTGGGTACCTCCCAGCTCACAGGGAGATGCTCAGCAAACCCGCAGCCATGAGGCACCACAAGGTCTTAATTTCAGTTTCAGTGTCTTTTTAGATGAAGGAAAGCAGTGGCTGAACTGGTGAGCTTGCAATAAATATGGCAGCAATAAGCGTAGCGTCCAAGAGGAGGCAGGGCAAGCCAGTGAATGATATGAGTAGAGGCAGGTGTCTTAAAAATATCCCATACATTACCTAGATGTAAAGTCTGTAAGGGTCAAACTTAGAGGTCCCTTAGAGAAAGTCCTCTATAGACATTAAGTAGTTGTGCTCAGTCAGGAGCAATCCACTGAAATAAAAACTATAGAAGGTCTGTGATGGCCACGGAAGTGAGGAGGCCCGTAATTATTGCCAACAGTACTGAGGGGAGTTCGGTCCACTCCAACTGTAGATGTCCCAAGAAATGCATGTCCAGACGCTCCCTGAGAGGGTTCAAGAGCACTGCATGGTCTAATGGCTCTCACAAGTGGGATTAGTTTCTCAACTTTTAGCCTAATTTTTTTGTATTGCTTAATTTCATCACATTATTTCTGATTAAACGCTTCGTGGAAGGCATACAATTGCTCCCTAGCCTGGATTTTCATGTTTTAATGATGGTTAATTATTCCAGGGGAAACTTTTATTTTTACTTCTTATTCATTGTGCTTTTGCACTGGGTGGTTTATTCTGAAGTTTAATTAGCGCATTTCAGAACTAAATATCTAGATTAAATCATTGCTGAGCAAGCTCTGCTCAAGGATTTACGACTGCTGTGCTCAGCCTCCACGCACCTGCTGACACACACAACCGATGCACTGATCGATGGGTTATTTGGGCTCACATGTGTTGATCAATGGGTTCTTCAGGCTCACTCATACTGATCAATGGGATCTTTGTGATGGAGACAAGCCTGCTGAATGCTGCAGGGGCTCAGGGAAGCAGCATCTTGCTGCCCCGCTATGCCGTGCTCTCCTGCACCCAATCTTCTTCCTGCTGCAGAGGAAGGGGATGGATGAAGGCACTGAACATGAGGGGTAGAAAGGGCAGCCTAAAGGCGCTTCAAGCACCGGAGATGGCATTGCATGCACTGACAGCAGGCCTGGGCTGCAGCAGCTCTGGCAGAGTCACATCTCCAGCCCCACCATCTGCTTGAATCCAAGGCTTCATTTCAGCCTATTAGAGAGATTGGGGCTGGCTGCAAACATCAGATGTAGGCATAGGTTTGGCAAAAGTCCATCCCTCTCCTGCTGTCTCAGACACCAAGATTTTGATTCAAGCTCATCTGCAAATACTAAAAAAATGTCAGTTTTGCAACAGAGTCCACCCTGGTGGAGCTCATCACAAAACGACACCTTCAAAAAGACAAAAAAAAAAAGAGAGAGAACTCCTTATATTACATTATCTCAACAAACTGAAGCTACAGACAAATGCGATTACACCCACAAAAATCTGCTTGCTCCCAACTGAGAGTCCAAACAGTGGCAGCTACACTGAGGCCAGAGGAACATGCTGGTGCACACACAAGCTCTTCCCTGCAAACCTGACATCCAGCGAGCTCCTGCAAGGGGCACGGCTCCTGGATCAGCAGCACTGCCCATGTGTGAGAGAAAAGCACCTCCTGTTCACGCCACTGAGCAGGCTGGTTTTACGCTCCTTATTTACACAGAGCTCTGGCACACTGTGTAATGAAAATGGGGAAGGCTTTGAGCCCTTTGCTAGCCCACAAAAATAAGATGACTGCGCCAGCACTGCGAGGCAAACAGCCCCAAACCAAACCCAGAAAACTCACAATGAATTTCAGTGGGGAGGGCTTTTTTTTTGTTGTTTTGTTTTGCTCTTAGAAAGATAGCCCTGTAATTTAGTGACTCATACGTTCTACATCCTTTGTTGCTTTTCATTTTCAACATCTTTAAACTGTTTGTGGAGAACTCACTTATTTTTAGACTTCCCATCAGTGAGAGACATTTTAGCTGGTTTGGAGGGGAAAAGCTCCATTGAGATTTTTGTATCTGGGGTGTTAATAGGCAAATTTCCTGATGGAAAGAGATTTCCTTCCTCTTCTCTCTTTTGCAGACTTGGAAGCCGGGCGGTGATTTTTGGGCACACCAAGGTCTGACCTGATGGAGGGAGGAGGATGGCCACAAGCAAATGCAGACACGTGTAGGGGATTGAAGAACAAATGTGGGCTCTGGGAGCACTATCTTCCTCCCTTGTCATCAAATCTGAAAATCTCCTGCCATGCCCCAGAAAGCCTCTGTAAGTTAAAGGGGAGAGCATGCCCCAGCGCAGCACTACCCCAGATTTTTGCATGCTAGGGCAAAAGCATGAAGAGTAGTTTAGATGCCACAGGGGAAAAAAATAAAAAAATTAAAACTATATATCTATCTTTACTTTAAAAATTCATTTTTTTCTTCAGAAAATTGATCTTTCAAAACAGATAATGATGTTCTAGTCAGCTAATAGATTTGAGTTTGCTTTGGTTTGTTTACAAAAGCCAACACCTCTTTTCACATTGCAGTTTGAATTTTTTCTTTTTTTTGAGGAACTTTAAAATTAAATTAGAAGAAATTTTGAAATGAAAATTAGTTCTGCAGCCCTAAAAGTGAGGCACTTCATTAAAAAAAAAAAAAAAAAAAAAAAAGCTGAATCCTGTCTGCCTTTTTTTTTTTTTTTTTTTTTTTTTAAATTTTAATTAAGTCAATCAGCAAGGAAAAGGCCTCCAAACAAAAACTACACCAGCACCAGACGTCCCTGAGCCTCCAGATACGCATTCCTCCACCTCTGGCCAGCACTGCAGTGCACTCACTGCCCTTAGGTCTCCCAGGGCAGGCACCTTGCTCAGAATGAGAGCGAGGGATGTGCCTGTGCAAGCAGAGACACATCCTACTCCTCCACATGCAGACCGTTTGCATGTGTCCAGAGCACACTCCAAAACGCATGCTGTAGACCCAGTGCTGAGCCCAATGGACACATCCCACAGACCCTCTGTCTTGCACTATGGAGGTGCTTGGATTTTACCAGCACGTGCCACCCTAGTGCAGGCAGCGGAACACGGGACAGGACCAGCCACCGTCCCTGCGGTATCCGCAGGTGCCAGCTGGCTCTGCAGCCGTCACACGCTGGGCTCACCCCATGCCAGCTGCTGAGAGTCGGACGAGCTCCTGAGCCCAGAAACAGCGGCGGCTTTCTGGCCAGCGCAAAGGAGTCTTTTCCAGGACACATTTGTAATATTGCTGAAAGCTGCAGCCCTAATGGAGGGCTGGAAATATTCCACAGTGCTTTGGCTGTCACCTCTCCCCAGTGTCACAGAGAAGTCTGAAATACTCAGATTCTGTTCCGCAGTCTCCAACCATCTAAGACTTCAGAGTAGGTTTACATCCAGGCCACTGCCAGTGCCTTTGGTCCCAGATATTATTGTGGCTGTAGCCCGATGTCACCCATCCAGCTCTTCCTTTTAGGTATGCACAGCCCAAACCAGCCTAACTGTGTGCCCAGCACAGAGCTCTCTGCTCTACTCGTTATCAGGCTCCAGCTTCATGTCCAGATGAAGCCAGCACTCAGCATCCTCTGGAGGAGCTGCCACCATCTCCCCATTGCAGATGTCCACACAGTGCATGTGCAAGATCAGCCTTTGCCATTTCACAGGTCCTTGCAAAACAGCACAAACTCACTTTGCCCAAACCCCAATGACCCAAATTCATCAGTCTGTGTCTTGGGAGAAACATCTCCAAGAGAAGTTGGCTCAGGGAATGGTGTCTTGCTCAGTAAGAGCAAGGCACAAGGATAAATGTGCATAGGCTGCAGAGTGGACAGTGTCAATAGGATTAGTTTGTTCTATTATTTGTCATGCCATATGCCCTGGTACTCGATCCACAAATCTGAGCCATCAGCTGTGAACACCTGTCAAGGAGTTAAGTAATTTTCCAGTTTCTGGGTAGAATAACTGGAGACAATAAGGCTGATTTAATCAGCAATGCAGAATCCAGAAATGCAGTGGCTTAAAAATATATCTTGGTATATTTTGTAAAAGAAAACCTTTCTGTATTAGAGTTTAACCAGAAGAGGGAAAAAAAAAATAAAAAAAATCCCTCCTTAGTGAATGTATTGCAGTACAGAAACAAGGCAGGTATTAGGTGAATGTGTGGTAGAAAGGAGATAAACAGGACACCATGTTCTCCTGCTTGTCCACAGGAGACAGAAATCCCCATTTAGAAAACCCAATAAAAGTGTAATTCTTTCATAACAACTGCATCCACTGTATATTGTTTCTCTGAGTAAAAAAAAAAAAATATAAGTGACTTTGAAGTCCTCCAATGCCATCAAGAACATATTTTTTCCCCCAAGTATCTCAAAAGCAGCAAAAAATATGAAAAAAAATTAATGACTGCTAACAGCTGAAACAGATGGTCTGCTGTGAATCCCCACAGCCTCCTGCAACTGTGAGTCAAGCCATTTTTCAAAATGGTGAAGAAGAGGGGTGGGAGGGGCAGACAGAAATCAATTTCCAAGATTACCAGGCTTCCAAAAATCCATTTGGATTTCCCAGCTGAGAGACAACAAAAATGGAGGGCTTGGCTGGTACAGATCCTCCATGGGCTTGATCCCAGAGCACCCCTCACCCACAAATCATGCACTCATAGGTGTCCTGGACACGTTTTCTTTCAACACAGTCCCACAAAGATGCGGGATGAGGATTTACTCTAAGATTTTGGCCAAGGACCATTTACACCATCAGATTCCCGACGTGCACCCACTGCCAGTCCCCAGTGCTGTTCCTGCTGCCCACCCTCGGGAGCAGCATCCCTCCCGCCCTGTCTTCCCGCCCCTGTTGCAAGGAACTGTTTGAGATGAGAAAGCCACTTGCCAGGAGGGAAACTCCGGTTGCCTGCTCCTCTGCTGCGGCTCCTCTGTCTCCCCGGGCGACTCGTCCCCTCGGCCACCTTCATGCTTGGGCTGCCCCTCTCCACGCTCTTCGATCAGCCCCATCAGGCAGATGCGGCGGCAGGTTCGCGGAGGTGTGCGAGCTCATCATGGGGAGAGCGAAGCCAGCAGTGCGACTCTATAAGGAGTTGACAGAAACTTACTGCACGCACTGTACCAGTTTATCATTTATTTAAATTCAATCTTTCAATAATTCATGCCAGCCTTTCACTGTGGAGCAGGACAACAATGGCAGGAGCGCAGTGACACAGGCAGTGAATAACCACATCTGGAACAGATGTTCAGTTCTAAATAAAAGCTGGTTTTGCAGAGAATGTTAAACACCATGGGAATAGTATGCTTTGGGACACAGCCCTGCTTCTTCCAGGGGGCAGCAGCAATTTGCTCATATGTTTTGCAATGCAGAGTTAGGACGGATCGAATGAAAAATCCAAGGCTGACTCCAGCTGCAGCCCAGTAGTTGTGAGCAAACCTGCAGCATCCAAATGCATCTCTGGGCACAACCATGCACTGCTGCCAGTCCACCCAGATGCTCTTAAGAGCGAGCTGGGTGAGACCAGTGCTCCTGCATTGAAGGGAGGAGGGCACAAACACCCCTGCAAGAGGAGGAACTGAGAACTGTGCTGGTATCTCTGCAGGGTGCCCACCTGCACTGGGTGCACCCAGTCTCCAAACCCTCAAGCAGGGCACCCCCTTCCACAAACATCTCCCCCCCACCGTGATGTGCAGCCCTCCATGACCAACACCTCCAGCATGGTGCTGCCAAGCCTCCCCTGTCCATCCTCGCAGTCTGTGCTCTGCTGCCTTGCCATCTGAGAGACATCCGTGAAGCCCATTCCCCACCACGATGGGCATACCTCACCACGGATCCCTCTTCTCTTCTGTACCCAGTACAAATGGAGGTCCCCACTGCCAGGACCCTCCATGCTTGCAGCTTAGTGGGCTGCCATCTCCAGTTCCCCAATGGAACATCAACCCATACTGTCAGTCACCCCAGTATTTTGGCAGTGCCCCAAAGTGATCCGCACATACACCTTTATCCTTCCCAAACCCCCATCCCTAATAGCCCAAAATGCTGGTGCACTGCGATGTCCCCTCCTCATGCCAGCAGCCCTTACCTCTGTTCTCCCCTGCCCATCTGTCGCTGGCTTCGCTCTCCTTGTATTTGGTTTTTAAGTGCTTTGAAGCAAGAAATTATTCACCATTTTGTCTGCAATTGCATTACACCTCACACACTTGAGGCCTGACCCCGGACCAGACCTCCAAGGTGTATGATTATTATTACCACTACTAGCACTGTTATCACCGACCCTGAGATTCCACTTGGGCTCTCGTTTTGGTCCTTGTATTTTTTGGAATACCTCATTTATCACTGTTTTTGCAACACGTCCTGTGATAGCTGGGCTCGACTCTATGTCTGGATAACGCAGCTTTACAGACAGCTTCCATTGCAAGTTTTCCTGCTAATAGCATCTTGTTCTTAAACATGAACCTTGCACTTTACCCTGTTAGCCAACCACTTAATGTCAGAAAGAAATAGCGGTTTTGGTGTTTTGCTTTTTTCCTAGATAATGGCTGGTCTTCTAGATTGGCTTGATAATGAAATAAGTAATGACATTAAAGCCCATTAATCAGTAACAAGCAGTGAATAATACAGAGTGCAAAGCTGTCAACTGCTCCTGAAGGACAAGCTAACGGGAACCCTGGGGAAATAGTGAAGCCATTCAAAATTGGGTCCCCCAGTCTCTGCGTCTTCCTTCTTACCCCCTTAAAGTGACCAACAATCAAAGCTGGCCAGTTCTTCCCTTGGCGGAGCTGGGCTTGTGCCAGGCTGTCCAGATTAGACCTTGATGTTTGAGAAATCCCCACAGCATTCACAGCCCCGTTGAATTTCACACCTAGCGGGAACTCACTTTCAGCAATTTCTTCCGCTCCCTGGTACAAGACATGAAAAATGAGGGAGGGATTCAGGAGGGCTACTCTCTACACACACTTCTGATCATGCTAACATCGGTGGTAAGAGGACGTGGCTCACACCTCCAGCAGGATTTTCCCCTGCGAGCCTGTTCTGACTTGAGCTCCATTTCCCCAGAAGCATCCCCAGGAGGAAAGGGCACGTTGTGTTGCAATGAACACTTGTAGTTGTCATGACAGTGGGTGGATGACAGGAAACGCTACAGCAGATCTCAGAAATAAATGTCTGAGCAAAGCCACCCCTCGGAGAGAGCAGCCAGCGGGGTCACAGTCAAGAGCGCAGGCATCTCTATTAGCGCGGAGGCTGATTTATTAGTCTCACTGTGTATCTACACCCACAGAAAATGTGGTACCCTTGGGGCCAATGTCTTCAATCCACATTTATAAATGTCTAACCCAAGGGACTGCTCAGCTGTGTTACACGGAGCTGGTGACAGCTTCCCTCCATCTTTATAGGAGGCACCAAGAAGCACAGAAGAGGGATCCTAGGAAAAGAGCTGTTCGGGTCTGGTTAAATAGCAGCGGGGGCTGCTGAGGACCTTTCCCCATGCAGAGCTGCGAGTGCTCAGCCTAGGAGAGTGGGGACACAAGTGGTAGCCCTGGCAATGGCAGTCTTCTGCCAACCCCCTTTTCTCTTGCATGCAGAAAGGATACCACAGTGAAACTAACTTCACGCTTTCCTGCTCATTTTAGGTTAGAAATGAGTAACTAATGTTAGCCATAATTGTGGCAAGAAATAGGAAAATGTCATGTAAAAGAAAACTATTTTAAGCTGCTTTAAAATTTTTACTGGTTTGAATTGAGTGTTAATTAAGCAAGTTTCTAAAAAAAAAATAATCAAATCAAAACAAAAGAAAACAAAACAAAAAAACAAACCACAAACAAAATAAAAAGATATACTCATGAGATGGACTGTGTGTACAGAGGTAGGCACAAACCTCCAGGCTGTGGAAGTTTCCCTTAGCATTTTCCAGCTAGCCCCCATGACAAGGAAGGGGGGTCTCCCCTCGCCTGGGTACCACCAGCCAGAGCCTGCACTGGGTCCCTCCAGGACTGAAGAGACAACAGCACAGTGGGAGCAAGCCCTGGGGCGAGTCAGTACGATCCAGCTGGAGTATGGCATGTGTGAAGGGAAAGAGGAAGGAGCAACAGGAACAAGTGGAAGCAAGTGAAGTCACACCAAAAATAATGAAATCACTCAGTGGGTAGTGCTGCTTTGGGGCAGGACGCCGAGAGGCCATGCAATCTCCATTCTTGGGCAGGAGAAGGCCCTGCACATCTTTGGGCAGGGGTTGGACTAGAGGTACTAAGGGTCCCTACCAGGTTAAATTCCTTCTGATTTTGTACGGTTTTGTAAGGCCAAAAACAACCATGAAGAGGAGAAGCTTAAAAAAATGTTTGCTTGTTGTTTGTTTAAAAAAAGGAAATATGTGAAACCCTTTTTAATCCCTTTCAGAGGTCACCTCTTCTCCATGCGCCTTAAGCCCATCTCCCAGTACTCACATGTGGCTGTGAACACAGCATGGAAATGTCCCCACTTTGGTGGGGCTGTGTCACCGAAATGGTTAAGTAGGAAAGCATTTGCAACCCAGCCCAGCTGGCTGGCCAAGCACTGCAGTGCTCCTGGCCCTAAGTTTACTTTCCTCTTTTGCTTTTCACTCTCTCATGCCAAACGTAAGGGTCTGGCCTGCCTCACAGCCCGCTTTGCCAACACGATCACAGTGACTCACTCAACAGCTCTTCATCACAACACATTCTTTCAATGGGACTTCATTTTGGATGGCACCATCTTCACAATCTGATGCTGGAGAAAGGCAAGAAATGCATAAATATGGGTGCAAAGTGAAGGGGGAAGGGGAGCAGTGGGGTTGGGTCAGAACCAGTGGTGTGACACTAACTTTCTGTTTTACCTCCACCGGCAGGTAGCCAATTTCACTAATAAGAGAAGAAACCCAGCTCAAAGGAAAAAGAAAGGCCCTCACATCACTTCTTCCATCAGGCTGACACCTCTTCATCTTGGGGAATTTAACATCTGTTACATAATTCAGAGAACATGTGGTTATTTTCCAGGCTTATTAATAGCTCCAAACCTAAGACTGAAAAGGAAAATCAGCAGCTGCTCCAGACTTCACCTCTTGGAGAAATAGGTGAGAGCAGGTACAATGGCTGGCTGAGGGTCAGGGCTTTCACTCACTCCAAGGCTTCTTGTTACAAGCCATGAAGGACAGAGTTTGGACTGCACCTCTGCTGCTGAGACATCTGGATCTCCAGATTTTCTTCATATCTCATTTTTCTCTCCAGTGAAGGCACATTTAATGGGAGCAGGCAGAGGAAAGGGCCTCACTCTCCACGAGAGTGGACTGGAAGAGTGCCTGTGGGAGGGGAGGAAGATATTTCACTGCCCCTTGCATACACAGAACACGTTTATTCATCAGCTATTCAACAGCATCCAAGGTGACTACCAGGGCTTCCAGGGACTTTGATGTAAGGATTTTTCTTATGCCTATGCCACCCTCTCTCTAACTTGGATAACAGGTTGAAGAAGTGCACTTGGCACCTGGAGCAGTGAGAAGGCCGGTCATAACCTGGAATTCTGCTTCTGGCAGGGACGGCAGTACACCACCACAGGCATACCTCTCTGCTCAGGAATAATGCTCCCTTAGTAGGCACTTCCAGGCACCATTCAGGCTGGGCAATAGCCTCTATAAAGGCAAATCTGTGGCTGGAACAAACACTGTGTGTCTGCTGTTGAAATGCACAACATGCAGCTCATGTGCCTTACTGTGCAATGGTAAAGAGAAAGCCTCCAGCCTTTGCCATCTTCAGTCCATCCAAGCATCAATGACAACATAGGGTCATGCAAATGATTTTTCAGTGGCAGAACCTAAAGTTAAAGTTCAGCTTGCTCCAGTCCCAAATTTATGTGCGGCTCTAAGCCAATGAAGAAAAAGCAAACCTGACAAAAGATTGTGACTAATGCAAAAACACTTCATTTTCTGGCACTTGATAAAGGCCAAGAACATTTGACAAGAACAGCTAAGTTCACCAGAAACCACTGCTCACTGCAGTGAGGAGGTGGTTGCTGCATTCCGTTCAGCTGCAAGCCCTGTCCAGTTCAGCCACTCCCACGGGAGGTGTGTGACC